TATACGTGGGACAGGAAGCAACAGTTAGAACTGGTCATGGAACAACTGATTGGTTCAAAATTGGGAAAGGAGTACGACAAGGCTGTATATTGTCTCCCTGCTTATTTAACTTATATGCAGAATGCATCATGCGAAAGGCCGGACTAGAGGAATCCCAAAATGGAATTAAGATTGCTGGAAGAAATATCAGCAACCTCAGATACGCAGATGATACCACTCTGATGGCAGAAAGTGAGGAGGAATTAGAGAACCTCTTAATGAGGGTGAAAGAGGAGAGTGCAAAAATGGTCTAAAGCTCAACATCAAAAAAACTAAGATCATGGCCACTGGTCCCATCACCTCCTGGCAAATAGAAGGGGAAGATATGGAGGCAGTGTCAGATTTTACTTTCTTGGGCTCTATGATCACTGCAGATGGTGACAGCAGCCATGAAATTAAAAGATGCCTGCTTCTTGGGAGGAAAGTGATGACAAACCTCAACAGCATCTTAAAATGCTTTGACATCACTTTGTCAACAAAAGTCCGAATAGTCTAAGCTATGGTTTTCCCTATAGTGATGTACGGAAGTGATAGCTGGACCATAAAGAAAGCTGACTGCCGAAGAACTGATGCTTTTGAACTGTGGTGCTTTAGGAGGCTCTTGAGAGTCCCCTGGACTGCAAGGAGAACGACCCTATCAATTCTAAAGGAAATCAACTCTGAGTGCTCACTGGAAAGACAGATCCTGAAGCTGAGGCTCCAATACTTTGGCCATCTCATGAGAAGAGAAGACTCCCTGGAAAAGACCCTGATATTAGGAAAGTGTGAAGGAAAGAGGAGAAGGGGACAACAGTGGATGAGATGGTTGGACAGTGTCATTGAAGCTACCGACATGAATTTGACCCAACTCCAGGAGGCAGTGGAAGACAGGTGGGCCTGGCATGCTCTGGTCCATGGGGTCACGAAGAGTCGGACATGACAAAACAACTAAACAACAACAACAGATAACCAAACCACCCTTGTTATGTAGTTTGTCAGCTTGTTCAAGTCATTTCCCATTCTGAAAACTTGAAATGCTTCTTTTAAGGTTTAGATACTAGGTTAAGTCCTTCAAGCTGAAATTCCTGTCACTGGAATGCAGTCAAGAGAATTTTTCTGAACTGGAATTCAGCCCTTGGGCTAATAGAGGTTTCCCACCCTTAAGTGTAAGGCAACAACACTTAACATTGTTGTTATGTTTCAGCACTTCACTTTCAAGTAAAGGTGACCTTCTGAATCAATGACTTCCCAAAGTTCCAATCATCAAAGGCTGGGCTCAGGTCTTGCAAACTAGAGGTTGTGGCTTCCTTTATCAAGTCAATGTTATGACTTCCTCTTCTCATACTGCCTTCCACTTTTACTAGCATTATCTATTCAGGTACTTTTTGTCATTTACAGAACTGGTAGATCCTGCATTTTCCTGAAGACATGTGGCATCAAGATGATGGGAAATCAGACCATGATGCTTGTTCTAGTTTGCTGCTCTGAAATGCAGTGAGAAATGTCATCCAAACACCACTGCTGAAGTAAGAGTCAAGGTTGTGCAACTTCTGCATAAGGCACAGAAAGAGGCACCATCTTGTCCAACTCAGGCAGCAAAATGCCTTGGACTGGCCTTGGACTTGATGCTCTATAGGATCCCTTCCAGCTCTACAGTTATAAGAAATATGTCCATACATCTTCTCACCATAGTCACCAAGACCTCTTTCTGGGTCAGTTATTATCAACTTTAGCTTGTAGTTCAGTTTAGACTATGAGCTTTCCACTGCAAGCCTGCTTCAGTATTGTTGCCATTCCTGTTACTTGTCCCAACAGGTAGGACTTTGATTCAGGAAACACAGAGAGTAAAACAACTCCTTACCATCAGATCATTGTGGTTTCTTGCTAAGGGGCAGTCCTGTGAGGAATGTTCAGCCACTCCTCTGCCTCTGCTCTCTATACAGAAAGGAGGAGATCACTGTCTCAAAGCTGTCAATTTCATATTTTCCCAGGCAGGTAGAGTATACAGGCAGGGACACAGAAACAAAATGGTGCAAATGAGACGTATATTGGTGCATTATCCATGAATTTACTTCCCTTCAACCATTAACTCTCCATGAGGCATTTCTTCCAGTGACACACATTGAGCAACGGTAGAATGATGCTCTGCGAAAGCCACAGTACCGATTTATGCTTCTTCAGAGTAATGTTCCAGGCTGTGAAGCTAAAGTAAAATGTGACAGAAATAGGATCAGAACTCTGAATGCAGCTCTTCAGCAACTATCACGTAGAGACAAAGAGAACTACCACAAAAACCAGTGCTAAGAAATGAGAACAACAAAGGGGAAAACCAAGAGATCACTTCTAGAAAATCCAAGAAATCAAAGGGAAATTAAATTAGGAATGCTGAATGACCAACAGGGAAGGACACTAGCTGACACACAAGGAGGGAGAGCTAGGACCATCAAGTCGCTTCTCCATAATTAGCACTTGGACAATTCAGCAGGAACATAGGTTAGCAAATACATTTTCTTATCCACTCATGTTGCAATGCAGTTTTGGTTTATAAGGGCATCTTCTAATATTGCATCAGTACCTGTGAATTAACATACAATCTTTTCACAAGTTATAGCTCTGTTTAGATTTCAAAGACATTTTCTAATTTTACAGTACTTCAATACACAAACATTAGCATATGGTCTTATGTGGTGATGTATAAGTTGTCATCCGACCAAGGTTGGAAGAGTGAGTCTTGCTCTTACCTAAGGGAATGGGGTGGGCTCTAAGAGTAGAAGTGCAATCTCCATCGCACTGAAACAGATATGGAGAGTCCGCTCCCAGAACACAGAGCGAGGCCTGTGGCACAGTGGTTAAACTACAGCACTGCAGGTAAGCCTCTGATCATGACCTGAGTCGGAGCCCAACAGGTTCATCTAACTGGTTCAAGGTTCACCCAAAGCAGAAGGAACTGGTATATCCACTGGTGGCAAAAATACAAATGGGATACTGGATCTCAAGATGTATGAAAATGGCAACTCAAGGTTCACCCAAAGCAGAGGGAACTGGTACATCCACTGGTGGCAAAAATACAAATGGGAGACTGGATCTCAAGATGTATGAAAATGGCAAGCAGATAAGAATAAAATCTGCTTTGCTACCATGTTATACATCAAGGTTGACTCAGCCTTCTATCTTTCTGAGGTCAGTAAAATGAGTACCCGGCTCACTTGGGATGAGGGCAGGGAGTGGATTTTTTTTTTTGCATAATTCTGTGGCAACCTGCCCAGAGAGTGTCTTTGCCCCATTATGGGGCAAAATATAAGTTGGATAAATAAATAAAGAAACAATCCAGTTGTCTATGGACAAAAGTTCACGGCCACACACTGTGACCACTAAAAACTTCCTGACAAATGGACAACAAGTTATGGTCAAAGGGCCTGGCCCAAAGGAGATGCTATATTTTTTAAAAGATAAGGTGAAAATAATGCAAACAGGAGTTGAACTGTGGGGGGTATAGCCAGAAACATTAACTTATGTCTGAAGCACGAACAAATCCAATCCCCAAATGTTGTTGCAGCCATTTGCCAGAGATTCCAGCCAGATCACTTCACCTTGACTGTAAATCTTTTCTCACAGGCTGGGTGTGGCTGCCAGGCATTCTGAAACATCACCCTCACCCGATGATTTGAATAATCATTTCGGCATGTGCGTCTGTGTGTGTGCACTAGGAGTGGTTTCCAAGAATTCTGCTCCCCCCTCCCCTGTCTGTTATCCACATTGGCTTCCTTTGTCAGTGGCACACAGGCCGGGTGGCTGGAATGCAGAAGTCAACTCATGAGAAGAGGCTTGCATGCTTCCTTTCACATCCTCATCAAAGCATGTCTGGACTTGGCAGTGGAGGCTGAATCAGGACAGTACTGTAAAGGAAAGTGAAATGGATCCACCCTCATCATAAGATTGGATCAAGGCTAGATTAGCAGCCTAGAGCTCATTCAAGGGTTAGCCTGAGTCTCAAATCTTTCCAAAGTCCCCAAGGCTTTTTCACTTCTACTTCCCTCCTCTGAGTCCCACTGCTGATCACATGCGCATGCACTTGCTCACATGGATGACTCAACAACTTGGCAGAGCAAATGCAGACATTTTAGAAACTCCCTGCTGCCACACACACACACACACACACACACACACACACACACACACACACACACAAAGAGAGAGAGAGACAAAAAAGAAGGGCTGTTCTTTCTCAGAACTGGCTCTTTAGTTGCTAAGGGCAGGCAATAGTCTTTCAACAGCTAGAGACTGCTTTCTGCTTTCCAGATCTCAAGGCTGAAAGCTTTGAACACTGTGAAGAATACAGATACTGTGGGAATGGCTTGTCAAAGAGTCCTGGATATTATCGTTGGTGGTGGCAGCGGCGGTGGTTAAAGGACTGTCGTGATTTTTGAGGAAATGTCCAAATAAACATTTTCCAGCTGCCCCCTCCGGAATGCATTCTCCTTTTAGTTGTGTGTCAGAATTGTTTTCCCATGTGACACACAATCTGCAATGCTCTGTTCTGACAAAGTGTCCTTCATGCACATGTATGTTGTGTGTAGCTTTTGCCATTTTTCAATGGCTTGATAGTCATTGACATTCTAAAACAGGAGCACAGTCTGCTTCTTATTTTCTTTCAATGGTTTTTTGTTTGTGTTTGTGTGCCCTACTCTTCCCCCCCCCCCTTATTCCTCACCATTGTCCAGAGTAGTCTTCTTTGGAGTGCATCGTTCTGGAGGCAAACTCTGGCTTCAGACTTAGTTCAGCACAAGGTTCTGGGAGTGGGAGGTGAAGTTGCTCATATCTGACCTTGCCTGGTGGCACTAGCCTTCGTTGACAGAATTGCTATGTTTTTGTTTGATGGCAGCAGGTGTTTCCCACAGAAAATGTAGCTGACTTCTCACACGTGGCCCACCTCCTAAACCACAAATACACCTATTGGTCAACCAGGTGACAATTGGATCAGCACAAAAAAAATTTGAGATGTGAGACCCATACGCAAATACACAACATCAGCAGGTTGTTGTTTATTACTTCTAACCAAGTCCTATAATTGGAAGTCCATAGCTTGGGGACAGACACCATTGGTAACCACCCACTTCAGGTCAGATATTGTCAACTGTTTTTCAAAATGTTCCATGTAGAGGTTTGCTATAACTGGAGCCCCCTCAACCCGGTTATAGCAAACTTCTACATGGAACATTTCGAAAAACAGGGCCTGGCTTTGGCACCCTTCGCACCCACAGTCTGGTTCCAATATGTGGATGACACCTTCACAATTTGGAACCACGGTGAAGAAAAATTAGAAGAATTTCTAAACCGTATCAACAGAATCCACCCAAATATACAATTGGAAATAGGGGAAAAAGAAATAGGGGGCCAACTCCCTTTCTTAGTTTTCCGATGTCATGTGGCCAGCGTGACTAGAGAACGACGTTTTACCTTCCCACCGAGATGGTACCTATTTATCTACTCGCATTTACCTGCTTTCAAACTGCTAGGTTGGCGAGGAGCTGGAACAAAGCGATGGGAGCTCACTCCGTCATGTGGATTCGATCTTACGACTGCTGGTCTTCAGACCCTGCAGCATATATTGGAACCACAAAACGCAGCATCCGCACCAGAATCAAAAAACATGAGAGACACAGCAGACTAAAACAACTGGAAAAATCGGCAGTATCTGAACATGCCCTAAAACAAGCTGGACATGAATTCTATTTCAAAACATAGAAGTACTAGTCAACATCAGTAATCATTATGTTAGACTGCACAGGGAAGCCATTGAAATTCACAAACACCAGCAGAGCTTCAACAAAAAAGAAGAAAGTTTAAAATTCAACAAAACCTGGCTCCCAGCACTGAAAATGACAGCCTGCAAAAGGTCAACGACTTCTACCTAGCCACAAGGACCAGTGATCACTGCACACAAAAGACCAGCTAACGACACTCATCAATCACAGTGACAGATCATCTCTCCCCCTTATCACAACAGTACACCCACAACAACAAAACACACTGGTCACCACAATCACCCATCTCCTGAAAAGGACAAAAGCTGATCCTAGAGCTATAAATACTCAACTATCCAAACAAACTGCACCAGAGCACAGACAGAGTTCTGACTCCTGTTTTTGAAGATGCCGGCCACAGAGACTGGTGAAACTTTAGGACAGAACACGGCCAAAGAGCCCGAAAAACCCACAACAACCACCAGATCCCAGCCATGAAAGCCTTCAAGAATACAAATTAGCAGCTATTGGCAACCATTAACTATAGATTTTGGAACTACTTCAGTTGATGAAACCTTGAGAAAGAGAAATGATTCTGATTCCAGCCATTGCTAGCTTCTTTTACACCCAGGAAAAAATAAGATCGTGGACACACTGCCAATTTACATCGATTCCAATCCAGATTTTTTAAAAATATATCGTTGTACTGTACAACCTTGTGGTATATAAATTGGTTGGTATGTTCACTTTGATTTAAATTACTTCAGTGTATTTTTGGTAATTAAAACTGGTTTGACTCTCACTTTCCATTCTGTTTGAGGAGCACTCTTGGTTAAAATTTCTTTGGTTTTCAGGCATCCTTTGGAATGCCTGTGTTTATCTTTCTTTAAAAAAAAAAGTCAATTTTAAGTGGCATATCACTACAGTGACACAGTGATAAAGTTGAAAAATAAAAACAGACGGCATTATCCCTGCCACCTGCAACTACCCACAAAGGCAGTATTCAATACAACAGGGGTGTTCATATTGCCCGAAGCGATTCATGAAGAACCAATTTAAGAACTGAGGTGTTTTTAAAAGCCCCTGCCAGCTAGTTAAAAAAAAACTAATTTTGCAAATCAAGAAAATCAGTTTTACCCAGGAATTTATGAATTAATTTGAATATCACCAAAACCAACCCAATTGTGGTTCTTATTGCCTGAGCCATAACTCCAGAAGGTACGCTGTTCTCAGAAGAAGAAAACATTCTCTACTTTGGTGTACAGAAATTCTATGTAGGCTTTATTGCTGAAAAGTCCTGTTCCCAAAACCTCCTCTTCAGAATTTCCATGAAAGTGATCCAACAGCTTGGGAGAAAGCATCCCTTTC